ATCTTTGGTAAAATTTGAACTCTAGATCTGCTGCTTGGAGGTAACAACTTAACCACTACTCTAAGTTGCTATACTCTGATATATACCTTATTTAAAAATTTCTTAATATAAACAATTTTATTAATTATTATGTAATTACAAAAATTTTTGTTGACAATGTTGAAGAAGATTTAAAGTAAGAACTATTCTAAAATCACTAACAAAATTACTATATAACTATGATAAAATTTTTGTGATCATATAATCTATAACAAATTATCTAATAAAAAATCTTGATTTGGTGTAATATTACATGATCAAAACAAATATTTATTTTAAAAAAACTGCCTTTATCTCAAAAATTTGTTAAGAAACAATTTTTATGCACTAACAAAAAAATTCTTTAAGAAATTTTACTATATTTTTTGTTTAAATGCTAATCCTAATATAACAAAACTTAAACAATTTTATCAATTATCACATGATTGCAAAAATTTTGTTGCTACATTTAAAGTAGAAACACAAAAATATTCTTTCAATTTAAAGCAAAAATTTCGATCAATTTAAGCAAAAATTTCGATTTATTTCGATTTTGGCTAGAATTAAGTTTCAGGTACCTCTGGCTGGAATTATAAAGATCACATAGTTGTTTCAAATTTTGAAAGCTTACTGCTATACTATGAATTTCAATTACATGTAATACTGTATTTGTCTTAAGCCAATAATATCATTTTCATATAATTTATTTTTATATGTAACTTGAAGCAAAAAATTGTGAAAAATTTCAATTGGGGCAAAAAATTTTGTGTGACCCGGGGAAGATCTAAAGTAGAGTGTCCAGGATTATGATTTGACATAATATTCGCATAATTCACCTTACAGCACATAAAATATGCGATTTTGCATAATTTAAAGAAATTCGCATAAGCTCACATAATTTAGCATTTTCACGTTTGAAGAAATTTCTATTGGTCAATTGGCGTTACGCAGACTAAGTTACACAGAATCTTGTCATCAAGTCGGCCTACATTATACTCTAACGCTGGCCAATTCTGGGTAGGATCATATTAATAATGTAAAATCAACAGCTCCCTATACCGTTCTAACTTTTTATAGCCAACTACATTCGTGCTTGTAATAAAACATTTCTAGTAAAAACTTCGAGTCTTTAGGTAAGGGGCAGGATCTTGCCATTTGATTAGGGTTTGAAGATATTATTTCACAAAGAAATTTTTATAATATGAGGTCTTTACCTTGAAAATCAAATACAGTCAACTCTTTCTATAACGAACTAAAGATTCTGGAAGAAAAAAAGTTCGTTATAGGGAAATTACTATGTTTTTTTAAGAACCCATGCCATTTTTAATACCGAACTATTATGAAATTTCCAAATTTTTGAATTCATTATATCCAGAGTTCATTATAGAAAGGTTCGTTATATCCAGAGTCGACTGTATAGGACATAGTCTATATTTTGGACTACTGTATAAATATCTATTTGATGATACCTGATCTTGAAGTTTGATTGGTTAACGGAAATTTTTCAAGCTTAATCTCTAGGTTCGCATAATTCGCATAATTTACAATTTATCACACACATAATTTGGCAATTGCCGGAACATAATTCTGGACACTCTAATCTAAAGTAGGACAATTTCACGTGATTACAGCCAATTAAATTATAGAATTTTGATGATTGTTGGCGAAGCAAAAGCAAGAAACAAAAACGAAAAACCCAAAAAATAGAAAAAACGGCAGTCTAAACCTACTTTAGGTAGGTTAAATAGAAAATGTCGGGAAGGCAATTTTGCTTATACGTATATAATAACCTAAAACCTAACCTTAATATAAGATGACCCTAACCCTAGAGTTAATTGAGAAAATTATTAAATATAAGGTCACGTGAATTTGCCCCCACTTTAACTGCTCCGATAATAAAACTCTTAAAAGGTTGTTAATACTGGATATATTAGTGTTTGTTATTGATGTAATCTATAGTAAAATCGCTCAAGAAAACTGTGATTGGCTCGTGGTCACGTTTTGAAGAATTTTTCGGGGTTTAGACGTCCCCCTAATTTGGTAAATTCCCTGACTGCATTGAGAATTAGCCAATTAAAACTATCATACCAACACTTAGTTAATATCGATAAATTTTTATACTTTAGATTTTAATTTCAACTTCAGCATCATGAAAAAATGGTTTTGGGATTCATCCTTTATTAGGATTTTAGAATTTTCTTCTTTCGGCAGGGTTTCGTCATTTCGTCAAAGAATTCGTTTTTCTTTCGCAAGTTTTAGGTTTCGTTCGTCATTAAATAAAGTAAATAAAGTAGTTTTGCCTAACAACCATACGTCGAATGAAACTCAACGTATGGAAGAGGTAACCAAAATGTCAAAAACATTACTAGGAGATTTCTGGAAAAACAAATCTTTGGCTAAGGGGTTATCTTTGAAACAACCTGAATCTACGGGTAACTGGAAAGACATTGACATTTATAAACCAAGTAAAACAGCACTGAGTGTTGAAGAATATGATAAACTATTTAAACGAATCCGTAATGGTTTTGTATTACAACAACTTCAAGAATATGTTAAAAATAATGATGATTCAGTAGTTGAGCAACATGCAAAAGGCACAAAAAGCATATTGATTAAGCATATTATCAATAATATATGGAAAATATCAACGTTTTTGAACGAAAGTCAGTATGTTACAAATACAAAGTTTTAATATTTGCTCCAAACAATCTATATCTTAATTTAATTATATGTATGATTCAGTTGTGCAATCCAAGCCCATAGATATCTTTTTTATCCTCGGCCCAGGTGGTTAATAGTTAGTTACATTATAGATTATGTTTGTCTTATTTGCAACATTGGGATTAATAATATATTCAATTCAGAGGGTGAATCCTTGAAGTGGCTAGAAACCCAGGCCAATGTGAAAATTGACATCGACCTTAACACATTTTCATATAAAATTTCAGGACTTGAAAAAGACGTCCATAAAGCTAAAGATATCATTGCAAAATTAACTGTATTTAATTATTTTCATTTTAGTGCTCATGAAGTAGAAAGCGGCATTTAATCCTGTTCTATTTATTTTACATTAAAGTCATATACATCAATCACTGTCGATCTCCCTCCTAATATCAAGGATGAAGATAAAACTTTACGAGAAATGATGCCTTATGTACAAGATATTTGTAGATCATCGGGATCATTTATTGAGCTTGGTCAGAAAAATCAGGTGTCTATTTTAAAGGGGATACTCTCGTTATTTATGCTTAACATTTATTGTTAAATCATATGTTTCGGATTTAGATAGTTATTTATGGGCAGACCTTGCAAAACATTAGAAAAGCACAAAGATTACTCAATTTTGCCTGGAAAAAGGTAAAAGGAAAGAACTTGGTTTGATATAATTTATATAAATGACTCATATCAAGCCACCTCATATTGCCTTATAGCCCGATGAAAATGAAAACCACTTGGTCTTATGTAGCAATAAACAAGAAACTAATGAGTATTGCTTTCTGCCTGTTCATGATGTTGTGACATTACCAGTATATCATAGAAATATGCATTGGCACCGTCTTGAACCGATTTCAACAATGGTATGAAGACATAATATCATGGATAGTATCGTAATCAATTCTCGTATCCACCAACTATATTTATGAAATATCATTATCCATTTAATGCTCTGACCAATAGTATCACATTTGATAGGGTATTAGACCAAATATTCAAGATCAACTATATATGTTGTATGAAAGCGATAGGTATTATTTATAATGACGATTTATTTCTTATTATTTTATATTACACGTCTAATTTATTAACAATATCAGCTTTTCAAAAGATTCCTTTCATCCTAAAGCAACGGTTACGGATTTCAATAATCTTGGAGATTTTGTGAAAAGGTATTTGAATACGACGTGTACATCCAATCCTCAAATCGAGTTACATTCATTGTAAGTCTTTGCAAACATTTATAGATGATCTCTCTTTTCCTCAACTTACATGATCAATTTATTAAATATTAGGTTTGGACATATTATTTTTCATGACAAAATAAAGTTAAATCAAACTTTATTTACTTCTCCAATACCCGGGACTTGTACTCGCCAAATGTTCGAGGAGTGGTCCAAATTGACAGACCCAACAAGGCTATTTCTTCCTAGGTAAATGTTCATTGTCGTTTTTATTTAATCGCTTTTGCTTAATTATTACATTATAATCCGTACTGTACTCCTAGCTATCCGAGTCCAATACTTTTAGGAACTCTGAAGCCACTTTCAGATTTTCGAAAGATTGTCCAACTCGAATACTTGCCATCTAATGCTACGGATTTATCGATAAATCGGCTGAGTGTGCAGTTCGACGTAATTAATAATGAGTTAAAGTTAAAAGAATTTATAATATCCAGACGGCGTCTTTTGATCGACATAATAATGATGGATTGGTATGCATAAGTATCATTGGCCAATGTATCATTTCTAATTACTGATTTTTTTATGTACCAAAGTCCAAAAGACATTCGACTATTATCGATTACCAAAGAATCTTTGCTCGAAAACA